GTCTGTGCACAGGAATACTATTATCTGCTTTGCAGAGTTGTTGAGAGAAGCAGAACACGCATATGTTAAGCACAGTGGTGGCCATATAAACTCAATTACTTGATAACTTTTCAATTACACTTTCCAAAGCTGAAGATTTTAGAGTTAAAACTCTTTAAAATCTTTGCTAACACTTAAAACAATGAACTTCCAAAGGCACTATTTTAAGTAATCATAGGGTTGTGTCTGCAATCTGTCCTATGCATTTGCCAACTTTCACAAGCATAGGAGGCATTTGAAAATACCCCTGCCCGGTGTGGGTACCTCCTGGTCCTCTGGGTGCCATCTCTGGTCTTCAACACGTTACAGAGGTGTTATGCAGCAGATGTCCCCAATGCAACCACTGCCTGCTTTAACTGTGGGCCCAAGCAAACAGAAACCCTTGAAAACCTCAATCTTTTCTCCAATTACCAAGATGTTGACTATTGGTCTAGTAGAGTATGGCTTTGATTGAGATGTAATCTGAACTGAAGGTTGCAGTCCTTGATGTTCCTCTACAATCACTTCAAGTCCCCTTGCTTCAGTAAACAAAGTCGTGTCATCCACATATCACAAGTTTGTAATAAGCCTTCCCCTAATCACAACACCGCGTTCTTCTTAATATGGTTCATCTTCTCAGACTTTCTCAGCTTTCAGACTGAACAAGTACGATAAAGGGTTACAACCCTGACACACTCCTTTCCTGTTTTTAAACCATGCAATATTCCCTTGGTCTGTTCTAAGGACTGCCTCTAGCCCATTTGAAGGTCACAAAGAAGGGTTCTAGAACTCTCACTCTTCCCCATGTTACCCATAGTTGGTTCTGATAAGCCTTTGCATAGTTAATGCAATACAAGGAAACACTCTCTGCTAGTCTTTGTCAGTCAAGTTCCATCGGACATAACCAACGGAAACAATGCCTTCAGAAGTCTACAGACACAGATGGAGACTATGTCAAGAAACAATCACTTCACATTTTGCTATTTTTGTTTAATAAAGGTTTCTATGACCTTCAAGCAATACTTATGGACTTAACCTCACACACACACACACACACACACACACACACACACACATACGCACACTACCAAAAAATAGTAATCCAAGAAAAGGTGGGTTAACTAAATAGTTTGTGCAACTAAGAAAAACAAACACCAACACCAACACAAAAACAAGGGGCTTACCTTAAGAGATCGATGAACTCGCTTTGATTTTAAATCCCAAATATTAACAGTTTTATTGAGGCCTCCGCTTACCAAATACATAGATGTAGAATTTAAATCAACACATGTCTGCTTTTGCTATTTTAAAAAAGAAAAAAATTACTTTAATCCAGAATAACTGTCAGGTCTTATCCTAAGTAAGCACGATATATTATGCTGAATTAAAATGTGGAAAACCTACTAATACAAAAATTCATTTTTCACATGTATCCACCTAAATAATAAAGCTTAGAAACTGAGTTTAAAAGGCTTCAAGGAAATCAAACAGATTCTCATTTCTTCCCAGAGGAAGCTTAGAAAGCACCTGCAGGAGTCCCCCACCAGAGCTCACTTCCCCTTATTATCACTCTCAGTAAAACTTGTTCTTGTTACTGCCATTGAGTGTCTTAAAATAAAATCTCCACTCAGCTTAGAGAATGTTAAAGGTGAAAGAGGCTATTGCTGTGTACTGTAGAACATTGTATGGGTAAGAAAAGTTCCATAAAGAGGCCAAGACACTTAACTCAACACAGTAACTGTTCTCTAAGAAGCCCAAGTGTTAAACATCATTGAGCAAAACATAACCTCACATTATTTTGGTCTCTTTAAAGACACTATCCAGTTTCTTAAGTAAACATCCAGAATCATCCCCAATTTCTCTTTCTCCCTTCCCTCATTCTATTCCTAAATTCCTTAATTCCAATCCTAAAATAAATGCCACACTGGCCATCTTTCTCTAGGACTACAAGTAGAATTAAAAAAA